TGACCCACCAAAGGCTGAGCAAGCTGTTCCAAGGGGCAAGGGTAAGCAGAGTGAGTATGAGTTTCCAATAGTGGCATGGGGGAGCTTCACTGGGCACAGGGTGGCTGAGCCAACAGCAGCAGGAGTTGTCGACTGCAGTGTTCCTCACGGCCCCAGCCGCTACTCATTTCTAATAGGGGATGGTAGGTAGATCTGCTAGGAACTCACCCTCTTAGCTGGAATCATAGGACACACCTGTCGTCCCAGCATTCAGGAGGCAGAAATGAGGGGTATAATTTGAAGCCAGCCTGGGCTACAACCCAGGCTACAAAAGAGAGGTCTTGTCTCAAAAGCAAAACAAAACAAAACAAAAAACAAACCAACCAAACAAAAAACAAGAAAAAAAGTTAGAGGGGTTACAGAAAGGAGAAAGAATACATAAAGTAAATAGGTGCTCACCCTAAATGTGTGCTAGCTTCATTGGGCTCAGGAGGACAGGAAAGTGACCCTTACCTACAGGACATGCTGCTCAACATGATTGTTCATCTTGAAGAAATCCATGTTTGGTGACACAGCAGTGGGGTCACCAAGCCACACAGGGGATAGGGGCACACCAGTTCACATCTGTCCTCCTGCCAGAAAGCAGCGAAAGGCAGGAAATGCCCCCCCTGCTCCCACCCTCCCCCCCATCATGGCTAGGCTTGTCCTCCGTCATTCTGGGTTGGATGTGCACAGACAAGAAAGGCAGCTTCAAACGCGCCTTGTGGGTTCCAGGTAATTAGGGATGAGACAGGGACAGAGGAAGCGGATGACCATACATCTCCCTGGGCATCCAAACTGAGGAAGTCTGTAGGTGTACTGTCCGGTCACTGTGACGGAATGCAGACCCGATGGGGACAAGGATCCTGGAAGCTTGCTGCAGCTAATCGCACTGAAGGATCAGAGGAGGCTCCTGGAAAGTGACATCTAAGCTGAGCTCAGAAAGTAGGCAATGGCTAGGGGCAAGAACTGTCCAGGCCTTTGCAGGGGATGGTTGTTGTGCAACAGTTTCCTCTGAGATTGAAATATTCCATCCTACAGGGAAGCTCCTTAAGCAGGAAAGTAAACAACTCAAAATAGCTTCAGGAAGTCCCTGACACCGACCAGATTCACTAGGCCCCTCCCTGTCAGAGTAAGCAATAAAGGCTGAGCCCGTCCTTACAGAAGAGCAGAGACAAGCTGCAAAGAAGACTCTGAGACCAGACCAGCTGCCAGAAAGAAGCCGAAGCCAGCTGAGCTGCCTGGGAGAGGTTTAGATCAGAGTCACTTGGAAAGGACACTCTCCAGCCTGTGGATCTGCCTGCAGGCTGTGCAGGGTGCTCCAAGTTCCCAGCTTCGTGAGCTGTCACCTGTGCTGGGGTGGGCTTTGAGTTATTTCTGCTCCTGTACGTAACTCCTCACCCATATCTCTGTAAGTAACCCCAATAAAACCCATGGTTCACCAAACTGGACTTTGGTGGTATCTGTACCTTGGTCTGTCATGGGCTCTATCTGCAGTAAGTAGATTTTGTGTGTGTGTGTGTGTGTGTGTGTGTGTGTGTTGCCATCTCCTCAGGAAGTTTTGTCACACAACAATGGTACAAAGGCCTGGAAGTGTGGAAGAGGCTCACTCTCCCTGCAGACAGCTAGGGTAAACCCACCTGTGTACCCCCTTCTGGGGTCTGCTTACCTCAGGGGTGCAGACCTATGAAAGAAGCCTTCCTCTGCTCTACCTTTCCCTCAGGGTCACCCTGGTAATTAGGCACTTCTGTGAGATGCAAGAGAGATCAAAAAGAATGTCCAAAGGGAGGGAGCACCAGGTTCCCAGCAAGATAAACAGAACATCTCTTTCAAGGCCCTTCTCCCAGCATCTATGAGACTCCCAGGTCCTGAACGTTCACTCAGAACCAAGGCTTTGGGACTTTCCTCCAACCTGGCTAATGCCCTGGCCCTGCCCGCCTCTCACAGGCTTCTTCTCCTGCATCCCTTTGTTCCCATGGTCATCCCCTCCCCACGTGGTCTCCCTCACCCAAACTGCTTCTTTTTCCGTCCCTGCTGAGTGCACCCCCACTCCCATCCCCACCGAGGAGCATTTCCAATTCCCACCATCCTGAAGGTATATGTCCCTTTGAGGGACTCCAGAGGGGAGAAGGACCAAGGAGTGGGCTACGGGAACACCCCAAAGCTGTCCGTTTTAACTGAGGCATCACTGGGCCGACCCACTGATTCCCCATCTCCCATTCCCAGGCCTTCAGAAGCATGCCTGCACGCAGTGGGATCTGGCCTGACCTGTGGACAGCTGGAGACTCTTGCTAATGTGACTCTAGCTCGCCCCTCTGGGGATGTCTCCGTGACATCATGTTAGTAAATCACGGACTCACCTGAGGAGAGGCCCTAAGCCCAACCTTCCTCCTAAAGAAAAAGGTCTCTGGGTTTGTGTGGCTCGAAACCATCTGTAATTCTAGTCCCAGGGCATCCTGTGCCCACTTCTGGCCTCTGTGGGCATCAGGCACCCACACAAGTAATACACGAACGTACAAGCCGACAGAACATGTCAACATTTTTTTTTTAAATTAAAGCCAGGTGGTGGCGGCCTTTAATCCTAGCACTCAGGAGCCAGAGGCAGGCAAATATCTCTGTGAGTTCGAGGCCGACCTGGTCTACACAGTTAGTTCCAGGCTGGCCAGGGCTACACAGAGAAATCTTGTCTTGAAAAACCAACAAACAAAATATTAAAAGAAAAGGGACTCTTTAGGCTGCCGAGGGTCTGAGGAGAACAGAGATGAGCGTTTAACCCTGGTAGCACAGAGAGACAAGCACCTAGGCTGCTAGGCCTGGTGCATGGAGGAGGGAACATTGTTTCAGCTCCAGGGGCCCAGCCCTCAGGTCTGCTATGAATGAGTCACAGTCCACATTCATTCTCCCCTGGGGGATTGCTGCTGCATCCATCCATCTCCAACAACCAGCACCCAGACTGGCCCCCAGGAGTACAGCCTGAGTGGTTGTTCTCTACCTGGAAGGATGATGGATGGGTTGACAGTTTGAGTATTGCACTCTCCTTCCTTCCTTCCTTTCTCTCTCTCTCTCTCTCTCTCTCTCTCTCTCTCTCTCTCTCTCTCTCTCTCTCTCTCTCTCTCTCTCTCTCTCTCTCGACAGGGTTTCTCTGTGTCGCCCTGGCTGTCCTGGATGTCCTGGATCTAGCTCTGTAGACCAGGCTGGCCTCGAGGCATTAGAGATCCACCTGCCTCTGCCTCCCGGGTGCTGAGATTAAAAGCAGGCACGCGCCACCACAGCCCGCCCAAATTGGCGCTTATGTTGGCAAAACTGAGGCCAACAGCCCGCCCAAATTGGCGCTTATGTTGGCAAAACTGAGGCCAAGAAAGGAGAAACATTCTCAGGTCATAGGACACATGAGCAAGTGGCGGGACAGACTGGGTCCTGCCAGACTGGGTCCTGCCAGGGGGACTCCAGCTCTGTCTACAAGCAGTGTCCTGCGACCCCAGAACAGTACTCCCCAAAGGGTCAATTCTCCTTTACATCTACAATTCCCCGCTAACAAGACCTTCTCTGGCTGCCCTGCTGGGACCTTTCTGAGAGTGAGCGTAGAAGAGAGCTCCCACGGCTGTCGGGGAGGAGACCCTCTAAGTGGGAGCTGGGGACTCAACTACAGCCCGATCTGACACCACTGCCACCCTATCCGGGGTTGGGAGCAAGGCGGCTCAGAGAAGACTGGCCATCAGAGTGAGGGATTAAGCTTCAAGTTGGGCCACCCTGCCTGTCAAGATAATGCACCTGGGATTTGGGGGGGGGGGGGGACAGCTCTCTCCCAGGAAAGACCACCTCAGTTTGGTAAAGAACGCTCGCACGGTGGGTCCTGCGCACGCGCGCCGCCGGAGCGGAACCGCTTTGTCTCAGCCCTACCTGCAGATCCTTTTACCTCCTCAGCCCCGCCCGCCTGAGCGCTTATATCGCAAGCTCGGCGAGGCCCCGCCCACTCCCGGCTGGGTGGAACCGGCTGCGGGCCCCGCCTCCTTCCCCCACAGCCTCTTTCGGCGGTGATTGACTAGCTGCCGCGCGCGTGCCCGCCCACCGCAAAAGTTGATTGGCGCATGGAGAGGGAGGTAGGTGAAGGAAAGCTGATTATGGAGCGCTTTCTCCCTCCCACCCGCCCCAGTGGGAAAGTCACGTGGCGCTTCACTCCGCGCTAGTCACCGCCGCACTTGTAAAAGCACTTCTTAAAGCGCTCGCGTTCCCTTGCCTAGGGATGGTCCTTTCAGAATCTTTTTTCAGCTGTGCCTGCGGTGGGTGACAGTGGTCCTTGAACCATCCTACCCCCGAGTCACCTAGGTGATGACTCCCTCCGCCGACTTGCTGGGGTTAAGACCCTCCCAACTCGGGTCGGGAACCTATGGCCATCAGGGGGAGGATGGGGTCATCTAAAACTGAGACCGCCCAACACAGAGCACGGCACGTAGTAGGAGTTCAGTTTCCATTTGCTGAATGAACGCGGTCAGAGAATGAATGAGGATAACAGACCAGAGGAGGAAAGGCTGGCTCTGGGTGGCCGCCCCCCACGCCCCAATCCCGGGGAAACTCGGCTTCTGTAAATGTTGGGTGGGGTCCCCGTGCAGCCTTCCTGCAGGGCACAGATCTGGGCGCTCAGCCTGAGGGGATCCACGCGGGCACCTCGGCTGGGGCACCTCGGCTGGGCCCCCTGGGCAGGTCGTCGCCAGGTCCCGGCGAGGCGGGACGGCAGGAGCCGGCCGAGGGCGCTCCCGCGCAGCTGGCGGGGGAGGGGCTGCGGAGGCGCGGTGCCTTTAAGCCCAGGCGCCGGCCTCGCGGCCCCGCCTCCCGGAGGACGCCCGGGCGCGCGGCCGCCGGAGCCGCGGTTTAATTGGGGCTGTCAGGCCGCGGCACGCGCGGAGGGCCGGCCGGGCGGGACTGAGGCCGGAGGCTGGGAGGCCGGGGCGGCGGGGCGCGCGGCTCGGCGGGAGGCGGGCGCCCGGAGACGCGGCTGGGGCCAGCGCGGCCGGGGCGCCGTCCCAGGGCTGGGTTGCCCGGCCCCGGCCCCCGGCCCCGGGCTCCCCATGAAAAACCAGCTCCGCGGGCCCCCAGTGCGGGCGCACATGTCGGCTTCGGGGGCGGCGGCGGCTGGGGGCACCCGGGCGGGGTCGGAGCCCGGTGCGGGATCTGGGTCCGGCGCGGGCATCGGGGCGGGAGCGACGACGGGAGCGGGGGCCATGCCCTGCAAGAGCGCCGAGTGGCTGCAGGAGGAGCTGGAGGCGCGCGGTGGCGCGTCCCTTCTGCTGCTGGATTGCCGGCCACACGAGCTCTTCGAGTCCTCGCACATCGAGACGGCCATCAACCTGGCCATCCCGGGTCTCATGCTGCGCCGCCTGCGCAAGGGCAATCTGCCCATCCGCTCCATCATTCCCAACCACGCTGACAAGGAGCGCTTCGCCACGCGCTGCAAGGCAGCCACCGTGCTGCTCTACGACGAGGCCACGGCTGAGTGGCAGCCCGAACCCGGCGCTCCCGCCTCGGTTCTCGGCCTGCTCCTGCAGAAGCTGCGAGACGACGGCTGCCAGGCCTACTACCTCCAAGGTGAGAGCAGAACCTAGACCCCAGACGGCGTTGGGGTTGCGCCGCTGCTCCCTGGCGCCCTCGCTGCAGGCTGTTTCCTTTCCGCACGCTTGGCCAGGCCGGGCGCCACGTCGCCCCTGGCCCGAATCCGCCCTTCTTCTGGGAGCCATCCCCCAAGGCGTGGGTTTAGCCAGGCACAGGGTACCCAATCTGTATCTTCTTTCTCAGCACCATTTGGTGGCCGAAACAAACTTTTCCCCTTCCTATTATTTTTTTTCCCCTGTTGATGGGGAGGCAGCAGCGCACAGGCTCCCACTGAGCTCCTCCGAGGGGGGAGAGATCACAGCTGGAACCCAGAAAGGAGCAGGGCCCACAGGCTAGCCTGGAATTCGTGTCATTAGAAGGCTAGGATCGGGAAGGCACCTTTCACAGTACCACCCAACCTCCTGTGCATGGGGGCCGTTTATGTTGGGTTCTCTGGGATCCTAGTATGGCCCCTACCAACCAGGATTGCGGCTTCTTGGAGGCACTTGGGCAGGATGTGGGCAGTGGCCCAGGTGTGTGTGTTGGGGAGGGGGGGTGTCCTCAGTCGGTTGCCCCCGAGTTTATAGAAGGGGGAGGCTGGCAGGCGGCCGGCAGGGGGGCTAGTGGCTGCAGCCGGTGTTTCCAATTAACATTCCAAAATGGCCTCTTGCTGGCAGCAGACAGGCGGGGAGGGGAGGGGAGTCCTGCGGCACCCTCGGGTGCCGCAGGGCCATGCCTAGCTGCATGGTGCTTCTTGTCTCTCATGTCCTTGTATAGCCCCCGTGGCCCTTCTCTGTGGGTCACATGCGGGGGGAGGGGGGTGCTTGTCTTTGAGGAAGGGCTCCAGAGAAAAGTGGATCACTAGTACCCATTTCCCCTCTTGCTGGGGGAAAGGACCAACGGTAGCTTCACACCATCCCCTACAAAGTGTGGTTGCCTAGGCTCTCTGCCTCTGACTGGCCAATGGATATGTTCTGGCTCCTCTCTCATTTCGGAATGGGGTTTGCTGACCTACAGGTGCTAGCCTGAGATGGAGCGTTGGCTTTTCTTTACCCATTAGCTCCTACTGAGTACTCAGGTGTGTTAGAGAGATGTGGGCCTGTCCTCAGATGCTCTTTATCAAGTATCAACCCCATAATAATCCCTGGGGTTATGGGAAAGGGCTTAGATCTTAGGCCTCAGTTTCCTTATCTGCGAGGTGGTATTAGTTTTGATGGCAAGACCACATTGAGTGGGTGCATGTGTAATGTGTTTGGCATGGTCACATTGTCCTTTTGACGTGGACATGCTGTGGCCTTTGACATGGGGAATCCTGGCCGTTAATAGTCTTTCACGGCCCTTTTGGACTCACCAGACCCCCGCCCCCATCTTGCCCTGGCCACAGGTGGTTTCAACAAGTTCCAGACGGAATACTCAGAGCATTGTGAGACTAACGTGGACAGCTCGTCCTCTCCGAGTGGCTCGCCACCCACCTCTGTGCTGGGCCTGGGGGGCCTGCGCATCAGTTCTGACTGCTCGGATGGCGAGTCAGACCGAGAGCTGCCCAGCAGTGCCACCGAGTCGGATGGCAGCCCTGTGCCGTCCAGCCAGCCAGCCTTCCCAGTCCAGATCCTGCCCTACCTCTACCTCGGCTGTGCCAAGGACTCTACCAACCTGGATATACTTGGCAAGTACGGCATCAAATACATCCTCAATGTCACACCCAACTTGCCCAATGCCTTTGAGCATGGTGGCGAGTTCACCTACAAGCAGATCCCCATCTCTGACCACTGGAGCCAAAACCTCTCTCAGTTCTTCCCTGAGGCCATCAGCTTTATTGGTAAGTTCCTTTGTGCACTGGGCAGAGTGGGTGGGTGGGCGAGGCAAGGTGTGTGAGGGACGCTGGGTGTCGCCCCTGCCCAACTGGGTACCTCTGGGCCTGTCAAGACCTGTGTGTGCTCTGCATGTGCCAGCGTGTGCCCGTGGGTGTATACCCATGCTTGCTGTGACTCACCGAGTCCCTCGGGCCCCTCTACCTGTTAGGACCTGAGCAGTCCCCTGAATCCTGGACTCCCCCAGCTCTCATCCCCTCCTGGGCGCTCTCTCTGGTCCGACCTGTGTTTTTCTGGCTTTGCTGTAGTTTCAAGCACAGCAAGCTGAAACATCACAGCTTACAGACTCCCACGGGTCTCACTTGCTCTGCATCACGCCTCGGCACATGTGTCTCTCCAGGATGGGGCTGTCACGATGCCTCTTTGGGCTTTATTGTGGATCTGAAAGGGCTAGAAGGTAGCTCTGGAGCCAGACTGACCCCAAACGGGCAGCTTCGGACATGTGATGCCCCCAAGTGCCCCTATGGGACCCAGATGCTCTTAGCTGCCTACACAGAAGAAGGTGGAGGCAGCTTGAGGAAGGCCTCCATCCCCGACCTCAGCTGACTCAGGCTCCCCTTCCTGCTTCCTCCTTGGCCAGCTGGCTTGGAGGTCATCTCTTCTGGCCTCGAGTCTTAACCAGGCAGCCAGGAAAGGACGCAGGCTCGGGATAAACATAAACCCTGTGCCCTTTGAGCCTGGCGCTTCTGTTTCTGCCCAGCCTCCAGTGGCAGAGCGAGAGAGGACCTGGGCAGTGTTTTCCAGATTGATGGCCACTGTGTCCAGCTGAGGGCGTTTGGTGTCAGCTGGGCTGGGCTAACTTTAACAACAGGAAGTGGGAGGCTTCCCCGCCTCATCCGCTTACTGGGAACCAAAACTAGGTGCCCAGGCTGGGAGGAAGGAAGGAAGCTGAGGCCTGGGGGAGGGGCTGCCCAGCGCTTCCAGCCCTGCCCCAGGGGACAGAGCCAAGCACTCTGGCGGTGCTACCTCAGTGTTTGGGCTCCCACAAAGATGGAGGGTGCAGAGAGGGGGACCCCAGTTTGCTCAGGGCTCAACCTGGCTTGTGGGTGGTTTTATTCTTAAAAGCTCTCCTCCATTCCTGGTGAGGAACAAGGAAACAGAACAGGATACAGAAGTGGAAGGGAAGGTTCCCCTTATTTGACAACTGAAGGAAACTCGGGTTCCCAGCCTCCCATTAGGACCCAGTGAGACAGGATTGAGCCACACTCTGAAAACTTAAGGAAAAGTTTCAGTGTGGGTCATCTGGGAGTGACTGTGCTGTGGCATTCTGGGGGCTTTTCCTTTCACCCCTTCCCCAAATTTCAAAGTCAGACCACTTGACCCTTTACAGAGCCCTATCTGTCACCTGTCCTGCCAATCCTGCCCCCAGTACCAAAGCCAGTGGCCAGCCCGTCAGTCCTACTGTCTGCTTAGGAGTAGGTCCCCTCAGATGCACAGAGACCATGAGGAGAAACTTGCCAGGCCAGAGGCAGTCAAGAATTATGGGTGAACAAGTGTATCTTATAGGAGAGCATCAGTTGCCTACTGTGTGCCTGGCTTCCAGGAGGCGTGGAGGCAGGGATCATAAGGACCCTGGGACCGTCTTTTGTTCATGTCCCTGGCAGCAGTGGTACGGAAAGAAGCCACTGCCGTGGGGTCTAGGGGAGAAGGTCCCAGCACCACGGGTCAGTAGCTCTGTCAGTGTTTGTAGAGTTCCTACTATGTGCCAGGCAGAGGTGTCTGTAGTGGCCCTGAGGGAAACTGGAGGGTCACGGGAGGAAGAAAGGGGACTAGCTGTGGTAGGAGATGTCGTCTCATCCCTGGGTCTTCAGGAGCTAGAGTTAAGGTGTTGGGGACTGATTGGGTAGAGCACATGGCCATGCTGGGCCCGGCCACCCACTTCTTTCCACAGATGCCTGTCCCAAGCCCACATTCTAGGATATGCTGGGAGTCCCCATGGGAGCGGGTGCTAAGTAGAAGGACCCTCTGTGTGTGTGGCCTTGTCACTTTGTTTCTGCATCTGTTCTCACATTGACACAATGGGTTTACTGGCTGTGGTGCCATCAGGAGGATGTGGGTGACACCCTTTGTACCACTTGTGGCCATGGTGGGGCTAGTAGTGATCCCAGTGGTGACAGTAATCGTGCTTGGTGAAGCCTTCCTTGACTCAGGTCCCTACGAAAGTCCTGAGAATAAATAAAGTCAGGTTGCATCGAGGAGGACCCTGAGGCACAGAGACAGCCAGGGCTCGGCTGTAGCATGGTGTTGTCTTCTACCACCCCATCCGTGCTGGGCTTTATCAGGCCCTTCAAGCATCAGGCTGTGCTGGCCAGCCACTGCCCTCTGTACCTCAGCTCTTCTGCTGTGACCCATCTGCCCACCTGTTTGGGAGGTTTCTTGGAGATGGCTCTACTCTGACCCATGTTCCTGTTGTTTCAGATGAAGCCCGCTCCAAGAAGTGTGGTGTCTTGGTGCACTGCCTAGCAGGCATCAGCCGTTCAGTGACAGTTACTGTAGCCTACCTGATGCAAAAGATGAACCTGTCTCTCAACGATGCCTATGACTTCGTTAAAAGGAAAAAGTCTAACATCTCGCCCAACTTCAACTTCATGGGGCAGCTGCTGGACTTTGAGCGGACGCTGGGGCTCAGCAGCCCATGCGACAACCATGCTCCCAGTGAACAGCTCTACTTCTCCACACCCACCAACCACAACCTGTTCCCAATCAACACACTCGAGTCCACGTGAGGCCTGATGAACTGATGGGTGCAGCACCAGGGTCTCCCAGCCTTCCACAGGGCCTGATGGCAGGGGGAGGCCTAGCCTGCTGCTCCCCTGGCCTGAAGAACCCACAGATGTCACCTGTGTCCAGAGAACCAGGCTGAGCTCCCCTGTTGTCCCGGGCAGGGCCACAGCAAGGCCGCTTGTGGTAGCACTTGCCGGAGTGGCTTCAGCTTTCCAGACGTGGGTTGCTGAAGTGAGCATTGGCCTCAACTTTCAGACTTGTGGCTTGGGGGCCAGTGGGGCTTTGTCTCTGCCCCAGGACATCCATTCTGCTGATGGCCCAGCCATTGTGACTGTTTTTAAAGACATATCCACAGACCTGAGTTTACTACTTCTGGCAGGTAAATCCAAGCTCCCTGGAGCACCGAGAGTATTCGAGCTCTTCTTGATTTTTTTCTTTCTTTCTTTCTTTTTTAACAAAAAGTGTTATTTTTTCGGGCTACATGCAACAGTGGATTGTATAAACCAATATTTCACCCCTTAATCTGCAAGAGAGAGAGAGATGTTCTCAGTTTCTTTTCTTCCTATTTCAAAAAGCAACCATTGGCGTGTTTTCTTTTTGTTTTCAGTGGAAAAGACAAACCACGTGTTCTTCACCAGATGCATTCTGCACATGTGTGAAACCTCTGTTTTCCCAGCAGGCCATTCTTGAAGGAGTGGGTGGGAGGCTGCTCTCCAGGCATCAGGACCCCTGGTTATACCATCTCCTACCTGTGGCCCAGACCAGTTCAATGCCTCATGTGCACTGGCCAGTTGCTGCGAGTTGTACTTGGTGGGCACTGGTGGTCTCTGGGTTATCTGCCCTCCTGCCCACCTTCTGAGAGTCCTGCAGACCTCTCCGAGGCAGAAGGTGGTGGTTCTGCCACGTCTTAGGGCTGGAAGTGCTGCCACAGGGGAATGCCAAGCAGTAGTGTTAGCCATGTGGGCTTAGTCCCTAAGAGGGCTGGGCCTTGGCCCTGTATTAATTTCCCTTCCATTATGTCATCATCTCTGTCTCTAACTGAGAAGAGAGACCCCACAGTGCCTGGGTACAGCGTGGATGGTGGGGTCCACCCTGCCTCCCCAGTCTCTTCCCTCACCGTGGCTTTGATCCGGTTACCACTCCCAGCCCCCTTGTCCAGGTGCACACCTGCCCTGGCCTGCTCTGCCTGTGCCTTTTACCTGCAGGCAACTGAACACCCACTGCAACCCAAGGAAGCGCTGGGGCAGGTGGGGCAAGGACAGGCCAGTGGAGGGAGTGTGAGGCTCTGGCTGCCACCCAGTATCCATAGCACAAAGCCACAGGTTCCATAATGCTCCCCCGGCTTTATTCCTTTTCAAGCCTCTTCTCATCAGAAACCATGCGAAATGGAAAGGGGAGTGCTGGGGTCCTGGTGGAGCCAGCACCCACAGTGGGCAGTGAACGAGGCCACAGAAATGCCACCCCACCACATCTTACCTCACAGGGGTGGTTTTCAGGGATTCTTTAGGGCAGCAGGTTAAAAATCTTGCCACAGTCGAGAAATTGACAAAAAAAGCTTCCATGCTGTACATGGTATGTCTGTCTGTCTGTCTCTCTCTTATTAAAAAAAAAAAATCTTGAAAGATGGATCAGAGTGTAAATGAGGGTATACCAGAGGGTGGCCAGTTTTGCTTTGTGATCTTATGAAGGAAAATTTGTGACCCTACATATATACATATATACATATATATATATATATATACACACACACATACACACACACACACACACACACACACACACACACACACACACACACACATATATATCCCGAGCCAGCAACGGGACTTTGTTTATATTGCAAATAAATATTATTTTTTCTTTAAATGGAGTCATGGTGTTCAATAAGGGCCTGGGGAGGTGAGGCAGAAGTAGTGTGGCCTGTTCCCATGAGAGTGGGCCTCACCTTGCCTACGGTCGGTCGGGAGGTGCTCCAGTCTAGGAGGGAGCAGCCAGGGCTTCTGGATGAAGCCTTTCTTGTCACCATCTTTAAAGTAGAGTCAAGCTGGGTGGTGGTGGCGCCCACTCGGGAGGCTGAGGCAGGAGATCTCTGTGAGTTCGAGGCTAGCCTGGTCTACAGAGTGAGATCCAGGACAGCCAGGACTACACAGAGAAACCCTGTTTTGAAAAAGCTTAAGTAGAGCCAAGCTCACGGTGACACTAATCTTCTCGTGTTTGGCATGACTAGCTTATGTTTTTCTGGTGAGGGTATGGGCATGCTCAGGCCTCCATTGGGGCTCCCACTGATAGGCGGCTCTGGTGCGTGAGGGCCACAGTGGGCAGCAGCCCCTTACTGGAGATGTGCTTCAATCCCCTTAGGCTGTGCCCTCATCAGGTGGACACAGGTGCAAGATGGGTAGGCAGGGTCAATGCCTGTGTGCCCAAGGCTGCCCTCACCTCTCCCAGGACTTGCCCCTCTGTCTCCAGGCTCCTCTCTGACCCTGTCTCATTGCTGCTCACAAGTTACAGAGCACCGGAACGGTCACTACCTTCGCAGCTTGGCCTGTGACAGAGACCAGGTTCTTCCGCCGTAGGTGCCTCAACTATCTGCTGTGACTGGCAGCCTCAATTCAGTGTTTGGGACTTCAGAGTAAAGGACCTCACATCCCTGCAAGTCGAATGCCAGAGAAGTGGGGCTTCTCAGTGTTGGCTAAGGGGCGGTTGCTACTCAGGGCCGTGGTCCTTCTGTGCCAGGGGCAGGCAGGGGTGGGTGTCTGAGAAGGCAGAGACTGCGCCTTTGTTTCCTCTCAGTGCCCTTGCCTGCGGTTGGGGAAGCCCGCAGGCGCCTGGCTGGGGGCTGGGCCCTTAACAGGCCGAGTAAGTGCCTGGCAGTGCCAGTGTGCCCAAGGACATTCTGGGGGTGGGAACGGCAGTCACTTCCTGAACAGACTCCTCAAGCTGAGGACTGAGGGCTTAAGAGTGCATGAAGGGGGCCAACCCCATTACTTCCCAACCATAAACTCAAGCCCAGTGGTCTCTCTGACCCTCGATATCCTCATTGTATAGAAATTCCTTCCAGCCAGGCGGTGGTGGCGCACACCTTTAATCCCAGCACTCAGGAGGCAGAGCCAGGCCGATCTCTGAGTTCGAGGCCAGCCTGGTCTGCAGAGTGAGATCCAGGACAGGCACCAAAACTACACGGAGAAACCCTGTCTTGGGGAAAAAAAAAAAAAAATTCCTTCCAACCTCACACTGCCTAGCTAAGACAAGGGGGCGGTGGTCCAGATCATGGCTGAGTAGCTGTGCCCTGGTTCCCTGCTCTGAAACCTTAGGCTAGGCCATGCAGCTCTGGACCAGAGTCCAGCCCTGTGGACTCTGTTATTCTGCCCTGTCACAGCCAGTCCTCCATTCCATGGGTTCTGCTCATCCCAAGCCCATCCTTGGCTGCATCCCCAGACGCCAGCCTCCCCTGAACTTGGGGTGAACACTGACTCCACTGGCTCTCGGGCAGCATCCTGGGCCGCTCTACCCTGTCACTCTCCTTCTGGCCCTCTTAGCCCTATAAGGTCCCTGTTTCTGCCTTCTCAGACTCTTCCCCCAGGAACCCAAAGAATTCCACTGCTTTGCCGCTTTTTAGCATTCTCATGGGAGAAGGATCAAGCCACTTACTCACTGGCACATTCATGCACCAGCCATTTCCTGTGCTGGCTGGGCAGTCCCAGGAATGGGAACATGCCCCAGGGAAAGCTCTGTGATGTCAGCCTGGGTGGCAGGATAATGGGCCCTCAACTTGTCTTCTGATAAATGAGTCCGATTGCAACAGCCAGAGTGACTAAGGCTGGACACCAAGAAGAACTTGGAGCACTATGGACTAGTCACCTTGAGGGGGTGTGTGAACAAGAAGACCACATGAAAGATGCTCGTTTCCCTAGGGTGGCCCTACTCTGAGCCTGGGATGGGAAAGACAGCCTTTAGGATAGGGGCCACTCTACCTATCTGCCACCCTCAAGGTTGAAAACACTCATGCCTCCCAAATGGGGCAGGTGTATGGGGGGCAGCAGGTGAATGGGGGGGGGAGGGCAGCAGGCCCTGATGGAACCTGACCTCTCCCTGCCCCTGTTAGTGCACAGCAAACTCAGGGGCTGGGGTTCTGTGTCTCCTTACGGCTGTCCCTGGGTCATCAACCCTTCAAACAGAAGCCACAGGGTCTGCGGGAGTCTGCCTTCTAAGGAGCGCGTTAACGTGAACCTCGACGCCCCGGTACAGGGAGAGCATCTGTTTCCGGCACCTTTCTCCCTGCTTGTTCCATGCACCAAAATGTAGCACCCTTCCTGTCCCAGAAGCCTCCCTGGACTGGTCTTGTCTGATACAGAGACCTAGCAGACCCAAGAAACCTTCAGACTCTTCAGGTATCCCCACAGCGGGGCAGAGGGGTACCAGGGAATAAGTCACTCCTCAACTCCGTCAGTCTTTTCTCAACGCCCTGCCTCCTCCATCAGTCTGGAAACCTTTCTCCCTTGGGCCCTGTGAGAGGTCAGACACACTCACTCATGTGCATGTGTGAGGCCTCCTCATTTCTCAGGCTAAACAGGTCCAAGCAAGTCCCACAGAGATGAAGGAGAGAGCCTGCCTCTGGCGGCAACCTCCTCCCACCGTGTATGCCTGAGTGACATCAGCCCTTCCCAGACCTGGACCTTAAATCCCAGCATTTAAAAGCTCTCGGGCGGGGGGGGGGGGGGGGGGGGGGGGGGGGGGGAGACTTCTCCTCATTGTCTCTTGACTGGGCCACAGGAGCCCTGTCAAGGCCTCTAGGCCAGGCAGGAATCCACCTTGCCTAGGTGGCCAACTCCTTCCCCGGGGCTTCTGTGACACACCTCCAAGGACACTGTCTGCAACAGAGCTTCTGCACTCTGTGGGCTCTTCCACACATCCGCTCACCTGAGGGCCTGCAGGTGAAGCAATGGGAGCCGTTCCTTTCCACAGGAGACCTCTTAAGGGGGCAAAAGGCCCCTTAGTGACTTCCCGTTCAAGGCTGTCAAGGTCTAATTGACATTGTCAGATGTCCTAGTTGCTGAGAGCAAGTGTACAGATCAGGGGATGATGATGAGGCTAGGCAGTCACTCATGATGGGTCAGAAGGGCTGGATCACGAGGCCCAGGAGCTGACAGTGAGACAACCTATCTTCTGGACTGACAAGACTTGGCCCTACGGGAAGCAGATGCCATATGTGAGCAGAGAGTCCCAACTTGTCTGACTCCATGTCCAGGGCCTAAATCCTGACTGCCAGCCTCGTGGGTCCAAACCTTAGGAGATGGTCCTTGGGGCTGGGAAGATGAGATGCTTTAGTCGTGGGGACTCGAATTCCGATCTCCGGAATCAGAATAAATGCCAGTCACTGCACTAGCCTGCTATCCCAGCTAGGAAGGCAGAGAGAGACAAGAGCATCCCTCAAGCTTGCTGGCCAGCCAGTGTAGCCAGATCACACACATGAACACACACACACACACACACACACACACACACACACACACACACACACACGCTTGAATGGGTCTCAGTCCCTGCTTGTACCTCCAGAGGGGAGCTTGTACCACTCTTCCCTATGTTCTACACTGAGCCCCCAGGAGAGGCAGCCTCCTCGGGTTCTTCCCTCCCCATCCTCCCCTGTCCCAGGAAAGCACAACCCCACGGCCCTTCTCAGAGACTTAGGAATATGAGCCACGGGGACTTACATAGGACCACCCCACCCTTGCTGAAAGGGCACCTTTCAGGGGACAGCTGCTACCAAGTCACTGAGGACTGTGGGCAGGCCACCTTCATATAGTCATTGCCCAGCCTGATGAGGATAATGAGCTGGAGAGACCTGGCCCTCAAACTCAAACCCTCAGTCTTGTCCCAAGGACTTGGGCCTCGGTACCCAAGAGGAGCCGAAGGGCCAGTGCTGAAGTCCCTGGCAGGGGGTGGGGGGAGTCTAAGGGCCGCCAGGACAAGGTGGGACCAGGCCAGGCTTTTTTCCACTCCAGCAGCAAACCCCTTCAGACTCCAGCAGCCTGTCCGTCCTCTCTTCCTTCCTTCCTTTTTTTTTTTTTGAGACAGAATTTCCCCATGTAGTTTTGGTGCCTGTCCTAGATCTTACCCTGTAGACCAGGCTGGCCTCGAACTCATAGAGATCCGCCTGGCTCTGCCTCCTGATCCAGTGCTGGGGTTAAAGGCCTGCACCACCACTGCCCAGCTCCCTCCTCTCTTTCTAGGGGACACCCTTCTTCACTTGGTCCTGAGGTCCAGGGAGTCAGAGTGCTCTTAGCAGAGGGTGCTTAGTCTCTGGTCCCGGCTCCATCAACTGCTCCTCCAGGCTCTGCTCTGGAGTTCAGCATGGATTCTGGCTGTGGCCCATGTGGCCATTAGAAAAGGCCTTAATCCCAGCCCACTTCCTTCCAATCTTGTCTTTGGATCTGCTCATCTCCTACACTATCCCTATCTCCTTCCCCACAGCCTCCCAACCTGGCTACCCCCACCCAGCACCTCTGGGAGCCCCCTCTAAGGCCCTCTAACCCAACCAAGACTTGGTTTCTACCTAGCTCTGTCTCACTTCCTCCCTGAAGAGCTGGGAGCTAGGAATGGTGTTATGCCAGGCATGGCAAAGCACAGAGGCAAAACCTTGCTCACACCTGCCCCAGACCCCTAGAGCTGGAATTCTTCTTTTCTCTACCCTGTCCCTGGGGGGGGAAAGAGAGGCTGAATGATAACTGCCCCCTTGGTCATTAGACATTCTGATAGTCTAACTTCTGCCTTGTCCCTTCCATACCTCTGGACAGAGAGTTGGAGTGTGATTTCTGTACATCTGTGATTCTCTCCCTAGGGCATTGTGCCCAGAAATGGCATTTCTGGGACAAACACCTGTGCTCTGTTTTTCTGACTTGGCTTCCGAAGGAAAAGAACAGGACTATTTGACTTTCCTGCTGGACTATGGTCGCTGACTTGCAAAAACCGAAAGTCCCCTGTCCTTGGCAGAGGCTAGAGACCTAGCTAAGCACCCCTCTGTGGTCCGAGCCCCTGTCTGACCTGCACTGCCCCTCCTGGTTGGCCCTACCCGGGAGTTGTGCTGACTCTGGGATCCTCAGCAGTTCTGACCGCAGCAAGAGTGATGATGATAATAATAACACACCCGGCGTGGCCCTCGTTCTGGGTCCCGGTGTCCTGCAGGCTTAAGATGATAAACTCATGTAATCCCCCCTGCAGCCTTCAGAGGAGGGGCTGGGCTAACCCTAATGGGTGATGAGGAAGCTGAAACAGAGCGGTGCAGCCAGGATTAGGGCGATGCTGCACTGAGCTTGGGCTGCTAGATAAAAGCGCCCTTCAGTGTTGGGGGTTTTTAAAAGAATTTGTTTGTGTGGTCATACATGTACTTGGGCGTGTTGTGGAGGTCAGAGGACAACTTACAGGAGTCACCTCTCTTCTTTCATCATGTGGGTCCAGGGGCTCGAACTCCAGTCGTCAGACTTGACAGCAAGCACACGGACCCATCTCACCGACTCCTAAAGGAGACTTTGGTCTCGATTCCCCTCCTAAACCGTAACATCACCAGGGGCCATGTCTCAGGAAGTTGAACATGGAGGCCCCGCTGAGGGGATTCCAGCGTGTCTGTAGGTTACTGGGAAGAGGACAGTAAGCAACAGTGAAGGGAACTTGGAATGGAGCCAGTGCTGTCCTCCCAGAGCACAGAAGCTGGAAGACCAGAGAGGCAGAGACAGCCAGCTCTGATAGGAAACACAGCCTAAGAGGCTCCTCAGAGGGGGCGACATCTTCCAGCGAACCCGAACTTTCTAAGCATCCCGCCTCCAGTCTTTGTGTGTATGACTTTCTCTTTCTGGAAGGTAGGATTACCCACCAGCCCTTTCGAGTGGCTACCTCTTACCCATCTTTTCTCTGAGCCCATCTCCAGTGCCCTCACCTCTAGGAAGCCCTTCCCTAACTTCATTCTCCAAGTGAGGGTCTGATGTCCCTTCTGGTTTCCATGAGCCCCTGTGCGGTATCAACCCTGGGCCAGGCCCATTGCCATCCCCCTGGGCCACCTGAGGAACATGGTCAGCTCTGAATATCTGTCTGTCTTTGTGAACTGTACACAAAGAGGTCTTGCCTAGGTCCCCAGAGGGCTTGCCCCCTTTCATCCCTTCACATGGTCGGGTTACTCAACCCTGCCTGTCCAGGCTTACAGTGATGCTGAGGAGGTGGCACTGGGCACCCCCCACGGTGCTGCCCCACTGCCTCTGCCCACCCTCATTGCTACCCTGCCCTTGGCTAGGTTCCAGCCAGAGAAGGTTCTGGCCACTCCTGTTCAAAGAGATCTGCCATTGCCCCAGTTAAGTGGAGGGGTCTGGAGGCCACACTAATTGATTAATTAAACCCTCTCGGTTAATTAGCTGCATCCCTCCAGGGAAAGAAGTCTAGAGCAGAGCCAAAGCCTAGCTAGGACTGGGGGAGGGGGTTCATTAGCTGGGGTCAGGCCCAGCCTGAAGCTTGATGCTCAATGACTGAGAAGGCAGTGGAGAGGGGGGCTGAAGCAGTGCACAGAGGAGTTCTGGGCTCTGGAGCCAGACAGTTCACCTGGGGCAGGGAGAAGGGGCCTTTGTTTGTCCTGGACCCCCATGACATTCCTGAGCACACCCACCATGAGCTGTAGAGACTGGGGGGAGAGAAAGAAGCGCAGGAGAGCTGGAGCAGTCCTGCAGGAGCAGAGGGTTGAAGCTGCATCTGGCATGGGAAGTCTGGGTCAGTGTTCGTGCACAGGACTGGGAGGATCCAGGTAACCTTGTCCCCAAAGACTGCTGCTTCTGTGCCTTGAGGGAGGCTTTGAATGCCAGCACCAGAACATGAGATCTGGGGTGTGTGGGGCAGGCTGTGGCTTGTTTGCAGCAGGGGAAGCACCTGATCAGGATTGGACTTAAGAAAGAGTTCAGGAGAGGGGCTTGGAGGAACAAGAGAAGGACAGGAACTGGAGCAAAGGGTAGGAACTGGGTGTCCATGGGGCAAGGTCACCCATTAGGTCTGGGGATAAAAAGATAAACTCCCACTACACTGGCTAGGAGCACCCAAGTTCTTCCTCTGCTTCTCTTTCCTCATTGGCAAGGTGCCCCAGGGTGGTGGGTGGGAGGAGATGCCCCTGAGGCTACAGCCTTGGGATATGAATGTCACTGACATGTTTCCTTGCCCCAGGACAAAGCACCTTCTTCACCTTCAGCTCTGGGTGGCACTTACAGTCCCTGAGGCTCACCAGTGTGTGAAGTGCCCAGCACCCCATTCAGGATCTACACAATTTTGATTCCAGGGTCTCAGAAGGATACCTGTGTCTAGCCTGGCTCAAGAGGAAGAGGGATTGGCCACGGGTCAGAGGCAGAGAGCCCAGGACATCCCGAGCAGCCACAGGCAGCAGGCAAGGGCTACAGCCTTGGCACAAAGCCTGCCATGGGCTGGTCCTCCAGCTCCCTGAGTGGCTGCCCAAGTGGGAACAATGACCCTTTCACGTCACGCCTCCTCCAGTCACAGCAACTTTGGCGCCGCAGGACAAAGGGGCCGTTTCATCATTGTTGGATTGAATCAACAGCTTGCCGGACAGAGCTCTACTGCCCCCCCACCCCCAGCCAGGCCCAGGACTCTGTCTGGTCCAACCACATGGGTCCCAGGGACCCTCCTGATCCCTATCTTCCTCTTTACGGCTCGCTATGAGGATACTAGCCCTGCTTCTAAGCCTCCGTCTCCCCGAGTGGGGAGCGGGCAGGGCAATGGGCTATCAGGGCTCCATCCAGGTCGGCTATACTGAGATGTGCATCTTCCACCTGTGCCTTCTGTCCCCAGTCTGCCTGACCCCAAGGAGGGAGCGTTGAGATGGAACAGGGCAGCACAGCCTTTGGAAGGGGTCCTGTGCTGAGGGTAGAGAAAGCAGACTCTTGTCTGAGTCCTTGTCCCCTGCGTAGCCTTCTGATGCTAGTGGCTTTCCATAATGTGAGCTAGTCCAAAGCCAGATTTTCTCATTTTGGGGTTAGCCTCAGCCCACTGTGGACGCCTGACTACACAGAGGCTCAAGAGGTTGGCTTGAGCCGGGATTGGCTAAGGGGGAGATGGAGACGAGCCTTTACCTTGCTTTTTGTGAAGAGACCCTTATCTAGAAACCAAGACACAAAATGCACACCGCCACCATTACCACCACCACCACCACCACCACCATACTACCTCCTGTGATCAGGACTAGAATCCAGCCATATGGGGCCCAACTTCCTCCCAAAGAAGCAAGGACTATGGGACACAGGACAAGCTGTAGTTCCATGTACCTCTGGCCTGAAGGCCATAATGGCATTGATGGTTTACATGGGTCCAAAGACCCAGAGGTCTTGGCAATGGGTCAAGGCAATGGGTCTGGGGATCACAGCTGTCTAGAACCACACAGTCTAAGCCATTCAAGAAGCCTGCTCCAACAGGAGCACTTTTTGGCCCTTCTGCACAGCATGGGTATAGATTCTACCATGACAGGCTTTTTCAAACTCAGAACCCTGAGAGTGGAACACACTTGGAGAGTAGCCTCCATGTGTTGGGGATGGATGGATTCACCATCATCCCCATTTCACAGATAAGAACCTGAGGCCCTGAGGTAGTGGCCACCTGAACCATACTGATAGAGCTGGAATACCTCAGTCGTTAAGAGCACACACTGCTTAAGTTTGGTTCCCAGCACCCATATCAGCAGCTCATAAGCACCCGTAACTCCAGCTTCGGGGGGTTCAAATGCTGGCATCCCCAGGCACCCCCATACATGTGTGCATACTCCCCCCCCACATACACATCATTTTTAAAAAATAAAATCTTAAAAAATAAAACCCATATGCACTGTGACTCTAACGTCTCTGGCAGGTGAGAGGCAGAGATGAGGAGAGAGCTGGAATATGGGACTGGGCTCAGGGTGGCCCCTGAACACTGGGCAGTATGGTGGATGTGGAGGGTAAACACAGCATGTGTGGGTGTGGGAGACCTGCTGGGCTGGGCTGCCATAGTCCCTGCAGGCCTGGCGGCCCTGCATACACATTACCCATTTACCCTGCCTCACTTCCTCTGACTAACCCTAAAGAATTACCCCTCCAGGGGAGTGGAGCCCTGGCATCCATCAGCAGGAAATGCCCAGCTCAGCCCTCCCCAGAGCCACGTGCCCTGGCATCCTTATCTGGGTGCTTGCCCAGGCCTCCTAGGAACATAGGGTTAGAGGTACTGCCTTTGCTGAAGGCTGCTGAGCTCAGCCTGGGCCGTCATTAGGTAATCTGGGGTAGAAGTGGGTGCCCTCTCACACCAGGCTGGCCAAGGATACCCTGCCCCAGTCACCAGTTTTGCTGACACCCTAGCTTTTAGAGTTCTTGGTGTCGAAGAATGCAGGGCCTTGGGAGGAAGTTAGGGGCCCAGCCCCCAGCAGACAGGCAAGGCTTGCACTTTCGAACATGTTCAACTTCCTTCAATTCCTAGGCAGTGCCACTCAGGAACAGTCTCTATCCAAGAGGCTGAGAGGGCGAAACTGCCTTGATGCCTGGAGGAATGGGAGCCTGGCCTACAGACAATGGAGACCAGGCCCCTCTAGGAAGCTCAGATGATCCTCTGTAGCTGCCATCCGGCTGAGGTAATGAGACTCAGGCTTTGGACAGCTTCTAGGTCAAGGGCACCTGCCTAGGTAGGGCCTGTCCTAAGCAGAGGCCACTGAAACCCCAAGAAGAGGTGCAACAAGCCACAGAGGTCCTCAGAAGGGCCAGGAGGCTACATTTCTGGATTCTTACTGTTGCTCCACCCCCGAAGGGACACAGGCTTGCAGCCAGGTCATTCCTGGTCTGGATCCCAGTATCCCTTAAGGCTTCACATTGGCCAGACTGCTGTTGATGATGACCCTGGTTCAGATTCTGAGTGCTTGTAAAATACCTGCTAGGCCAAACACTCTAGTGTCGTGTAGCCAGAAGGCCCAATCAGCATGTTTCTGGAGAGTTCCTACGAGGGGATTCCACTCTGTCCCCCGCCCCCAATGGAGTGGACGGGCACAAAGATTCAGTAACGGCAAGGCCAGCCAGCATTGTCGCTGGGTCGAGTGGCAACATCTAAGATATTCTTAGATGGAGACTAGGCATAGAGCAGCTTGCCTAAGCCCAGAGACGACACTCACACTGAGATTTATGCAGAGTAACCTGAAAGCATTTTTACCACTCAAACCATAAAACAGTGCAGCCAGGGTCGGCATGGGACAAACAGAAAGCCCCATAGCCGCTGGTCCAGCAACCTGTACCCGTGAAACTCCTTAGTGCCTCCTTGTATATTCACTCATGGCTTCCTGGGCCAGTCAGTGACTCCAGGCTATGTGATCCAGGGCCAGCCCTGCAGGCCCTCTCTAGCCTGTAACTGCAAGTCCTACACCGTGAGTTCCTGCCCTCCTTAAAGGATGTGGGGAGAATCGGAGATCTCAGATGAGCAATGTCTGTGGAGAAAGCTCAGTCTGGCTTTGCACTCAGACTGGTCTGTAGCCCACCCTCAGGAGGGACCCTCTGTGTGACTCTCGGGCAGGTCATTTCACTTCTTTGAGTCTCACTTGAATGAGGACACTGACGATACCGCATCACACATGGGGTACCCTGGGGCCCCAGGGAAGAGGAGACAGCCCCTCCCAGGACAGTAGTAGTGCATGCACAGAGGGTACTCAAAAGTTTTAGGGGTGCAGGCTGCTGGGGCCAACTGTGATGGGCTTTCTACCCGTCCCAGGCCATCACCCTAAGGGCAGGTGGCATGGACTATGGCACAGGGGATGGCTGCAGTGGCTCCTGGGTACCCTGTGCCTGGTGCTGTTGACCCAAACTGCAAAGGCTTCTCCTCCCAGGGTTTGGAGTTGCGCTGTTGGGACCATGCAAAGTGCAAATAGCCCCGCCATGGCATCTGCCGTGACTGGAGGACACAGGGATAGACAGCCTGCCTCTAAACAAGGCATGCACTCTGGTGACCCTGTAGAATGGTGGAAGAAAGAGTGCCAGGCCATTGTGCCTAGGGGCACCCCTGTGAAGGAAGGTGGTATCTCTCCCCTGACCATGAAAACCTGAGCCTGTGCCTGAACTGGTGGCAACGGACTCTGCCAAACTCTCCCCCCAGAAGGAATCTCCTTCCTGACATCTGGGGCCAGCAGCGACCGCTGCTCCAAGCCAAAGACTTGGCTCAAGCTCTCCAGCTTACTCCATTAGGTTCGTACTTAGCATGAGTGTGGACACTGAAGCCAGTGTTCAATAAAATGGGGTGTGATGGGGGACCCCAAAGACCCAGTCCTTGCCCGGACAGGAGGGATAGACTGGAGCTGTGTTGTCTTGGGCCCTGGCTTTACAGAGAGGCTTAGGAACCAGGCTGTCCCATGGACTCCGATTCAGGCTATCCCTCTGTGCCAGCGACTGTCTCCTGCTTGAGCTGGTATCACCTCTTCCAGGGATAGATGAAGGCTGCGGCTTGACTGTACCCTCCTCCCTGTCTCCTGCCTCAAGGCAGGGCTAACTCATTCACTCTCAAGTCTCTAAAGAACGAAGTAAAGTGGGAGGAGCCAAGAGAAGAGACCCATGAGGCCATGGAGCCTGGAGATCATGGTGGTAGGGCCCTAGGTGGACTCACCCCTGGCCCTAGGTATGACTGAGTTACCAGCATGGGGGTGGGTAGCTCAGTCAGACAACTGAGCTACACAGTATATTGAGCTGCTTTCTGGAAGCCATTGAGTCAAAAGATCTGAAAATATGCACAGCCTTTAGCCCAGAAATCCATCTACCCCAGTGTGCCTGCCCCGAGGAAACTGCCACCTGAGCGCACAGAAGGGGCAGCCTCTAACTTGCTCTGTGATCCCTGACTCACGTCAGCCTGTCAGCTATGTCCAGAGTCCTTCACGGGGATTGTCCCCTCCCACCAGCCTGTGGTCCCACATCTATGCCCTTCCCTGTCCACCCAGGCAGGATCTCTGTTTCCCAGGAATACAGGTGTCCACAGAGGCAGGGAAAAGCAGACTGTGGGCTTTAGCCCTCCTGTGAGCCAAGCTCCATTCTAGACACACAACGCTCCATCCTGTCCTCACAGCAAGGTTTTATTCGCCCTGTTTTTCAGGCAACAAAGCCAAGGCATCCAGGGCTGCTGAGGCACAGAGCCAGAGAACTCAGCTGTAATCCTGCAGGCAGCCGAGGGAATCCTAAGAGACATGTGGGCAGGGAGGGTATGGAAGCTCCTCCAGGGCCCTCACAGCCTCCCCGGAGTGTTTCAGCACTCCCCTTCACAAGGCCATAGCAGGTGCTAGAGGCAGAGGCTGATGTTTCTCTCTCTCTCTCTCTCTCTCTCTCTCTCTCTCTCTCTCTCTCTCTCTCTCTCTCGTCCCTCTCTTGGCCATGCACACCCGAGCGCTGGTGTCACCCCACAGCCTCTGCTGCAGCCTCTGGATGTGCCTGGAATCCCAACACCGAGCTGCAGAGATGTCTGGCCAGAGCCGCAAGGTCAATCCCTCTCTTAACACGGCACACACTACTGCAGCATTGGCCCGGCCTCAGGGGACCCTCCCCTCATCTTGGAGAAATGGAGCATGAGTCAACTCCCATTCCACCTCCAGACCTGGGAAAGTAGCATGGGAGCGAGAGGCAGGATTCCTGCAGAGCTCTGGACCCATCTCTTCAAGGTAATGGCTGCCGAGCCACCCACACGAGCTGTCCAGAGGGCTGAAGGCAGAGCCAGGAGAAAGCCAACGCTCCTGCCCTGGGAACCTAGAGTTTAGCAGTAACCTGAGAGCCACAGATGCCCCTCATGTGGACTCAGGTCAGGATAGCCCCCCAACTGTGCCCCCTACAGCTACGTAATTTCGTGCACTTAACCCTAGTATGTCCCAGATTCCTGTTTGGTAAATGGGGAGAGTCTGAACAGAACCTAAGGAGTTTGGAAGAGGCAGGCAGGACAAGACCTGATGTGACCATGAAAGCTCCTGCCACTGCCACCTGAGTGTGACCTCAGTCTGTTCAGGCTTCTGCACAAAGCCTTTTGTGTGCACACTGAATCATCACAAAAATCCCATGAGACACACCTATTCTCCTCAAGCATGTGGTATGCTCCATGGGTCACAGACAGGCAGAGTGGGCTGAGTCACCTTGCTGTGAGGACAGTGATAGGGGTGAGGGACTGTTGACTTGAAAAGACAGTGTGGGGTGGGGTGGGGACAGGAATGAGAACTGGATGGGAAGCCCTTGAAGATGGCAGTCCAAGCATGGGCAGGAGCTAAACCAGCTTCTTCGGAGCCCAGGGTTGGTCTTGGTCAACTTTCCAAAGTGCTGCAAAGGTAGATTGTTCTGGGCCCCATCCACTCTTAGCAGCCTCCTGAGCCCTCAGCCCGGCTGTCACGGCTGCCAGTCCTGGCCTCCTCAGTGCTGCTCAGCCGAGTCAGGCTGAGATAAACGTGCTCAGGAGGTGGCAGGCTTAGGTCCTTCATCCCAAGTAACCAGACTCCTATGCAGACCCTGACTGTCCCTGAGACACAGGTGCAGCTCCTGCCTTGTCCCCCTCCCCCCAGTGCCGGCCCAACAGAACGATCAATCACGGCTCTCCAGCCTGCACATGGAGCTGGCATGACTCCCGGAGAAGTCACCAGCATGAATGGATTCCTTGCCCTGCCACCCCAGCCCCCAGCGGATGAGGAATAGTCAGCCATGAGGCAACAGGAGGCCTGATCTGCCCTGGCAGCTTCCTCCTTCCTATGGAGAAAGTGCCAGTTCGAGGCTGGAGACTCCAGGCCGAGGCTCAACCTTGCCTGCTCGCCCTACACCCTCCCAGAAAAGGATGGAAGAGTTAGAGAAAGCGCCCCATGGTCCTCTACCCCAGCCCTTTGCTTCCCTCGTCATGTGACATGCTTCTTGGTCCCTTAGCCAACCTCAACCCGAAGATCCACCAGACCTGACACTGGACACCTGAGAGGCCCCCAGTGGTGGAATTTGGGGCATAGGGATGGAGCCTGAGCCCGCTTGGAAGTGGGTGGGTCTTATTGCTGTCATGAGTGGGGAGGCCAAGGAAAACGGTAGGGGCAACATCTGGATGGAGCTGTTCAGCTGCCATTAGGCAAAGAAAGCAAAAGAACAGCCCAGTCGAGGCAGGGATGAGGAGAGGACTTCCTGGCTTGGGCCTTAGGCTTTAGGACCTGCCGGTGATCAGAGCCCAGTGGCCCTTGTGACTAGTTCTCTAGTATTCTGTGGCAGCCCAGAGTGGCTCTGCGCCTCACCAAGCTGAGATGTGCAGCGCTGAGATTGGCAGCCTCGGGGCTCACAGTGACTGGGGCCTCCTCTGGCTAGCACAGGGTTCCGGCGGCCCTCACTGCACTCAGGCCACAGATGACTGAGAGGCAGCCCTACCGGATCTCGGCACCAGTGTTCTCCAGCTGAGCAATCTCAGGCCAGGCTGGGTGAAGTAAGTTGCAGGATTTCAACGAAAGGGGACCTGCCATGAAAGGGCTGTGACAAGCCTGCAGTCACTAGTTGTCTTGTTTGTTTGTTTAAGCAAGGACTCTATGTAGTTCTGGCTGTCCTGGAGCTCACTCTGTAGACCAGGCTGGCCTTGAACTCACAGAGATCCTTCTGCCTCTGCCTCTGCCTCCCGAGTGCTGGGTTAAAGACATGCAACACTATGCCTGGCCCACCGGTTGTCTCTTGATCCAGGTGGATGTCCCCGAGGCCTACACCTTTGCACACACTCTTCCATCCCTTGTCCCGTTTGATAATGGAGAAGCTGAGCTGACCATAATGCCCTGACTGGTCCAAGGCCACAGGACGTGTGTGTCACAAGTGACTTGATTTGCCTCACCTTGGTCTCCTGGGCCACAGGAACTAGGAAGGTGTTGGGCTAGGGGCGGAGATGGGGAATCCCAGAGACTTGACCCACTCTGGAGAGCCCTGGTGGTGAGCACAGCCCTTTCTAGCCTCCCTTTCACTCCTGAAGCTTCAGCCCCTCCTTTCTAGCTTCTGATGTCATACCCACCCTGAGCACCCCCCATCTTCCCACTGTGCAACTGGGGCCAGGAGGACAGACAAAGGCCTGAGGTTCCTTTGTTCCTTGCTATTCAAGCTCTGCCCAAGGCAAGCCTGAAGCCCAGCTGAGGCTCTGGTCATCACAGGTCAACCTCACCGCAGACAGCTAGCTACCCAGAGGTAGAAGAGAGCACCATGACTGCCTTGTGACTGGAGAGTGTCTGAGGTGACAGGAAGGTGGGCGCACACAGTAGGGGAAAGGTGAGAGAGACGAGATGGAGGAGGAAGGCGCCGGGGCCCGGCAAAGTCAAGGTTCTTAAGCTGTCTTTCATGTCTGGGCCAGCCCTGAAGCCCTAGTCAGGACGTGTTCCTGGGGCCTCAGCTCTGTTCATCTCCCTTTGTCCACAGCAAGTATACAGAGCCATGGTCGACAAGGGAGACTTTGAGGAGCCCCTGGTGGGGGATCCGTGTGTATGTAGGCACATCGAGGGAGGGCCCCGAGGATGTCTCTTGGGATGTCTGTGAATGCCCCTGTGGTATGTAGTCAAGGCCACATCTGCCCTCCACTGGGATAATGGGTGTGCTGGGGGGTCGGTCCACGTCAGCTGAAACCATTTTTTTCTCTAGCAATGGGCTTGGGTTGCTTCTCTGGCTTGTCCCAGTCCCATCACCAGCTCCTGCACCCATCTCACTGGCATCCAGCGGAAGGGCCTGAGATGGGGATATTAAGTGTCCCAGGATCTCTCATCGGGGATCTTGCTGGCCCAGAACCCCTCGCCAGGCCCGGCTCTTAAGCAGTGAGGTACTCCCTGGGGGGTGTCAGTCCCTCTGAGCATGTGCACTGGGCAGGAGGATTATTGATGCTCTGTGATTCTGGGCAGGGTTTAGCCCCTCTGGGCCTTAGCTCCTCATCTGTAAACAGGGATTAATAATTGTGCAAATCTCCCAGGGTCATGAGAATTAATTAAACAAGAGAGTACCGGAAAACTGAGCTCAGCCAGCGTCTGGGGCAGGGCCAGGGCAGAATGTGCTGTTCCCTAGATTTCTTTGGTTGTCCTGTGATCACATAGCTGCTCTGTCCCCCGAGGAGACCTACCTGCTCTGTCTGGAGCCCTGAAGCCAGCAATACCTTTGTCTCCCCACACAAATACCAGAACCACTTCTGAGAAGGATTTACCCTGGTTTCTGGTTCAGGGGCCAGCCAAAATCCTTGTGTCCTAAAGATTGGAGATTGTGTCTCCTCATGGTTTAATGTCAGGTCACTAGACCACTGCCATGTAGCAAAAATCCTTTTTATATCTCCCGGTCCAAATGAGCCCATCTTGGAGTGCAGGTGGAGGCCCCTGGCCAGACTGAAGGAAGGGCCACTCAGCATGGGAGCCTTCAGGGGCCTAGGGTGCTCAGGATGGCACCCATCCAGCAGATCTGCGAAATTCTTTCTGCATGACTGTAATGACCACAAGCTCCTTTCTGAAGCTCAGGGACCCTTCCAATCCGAATCTGGACCTTCATGCCTTCCCAGCAAAGCACAGGCTAAAGAGGATCCAGAATCTCCTAGAAGATAGTTGTGAGCCCCAGGCCCCTCCAATCCCCCTGGGACTTCTGTCGCCTGTCAGACGAACTCAAGGGAAATCTCTGGTTGAGTCTCCTGGAGGGTGAAGGAAATTCAGATTTCCTCTCCAAGACTTGCCCTAGATCCTGAGGTCTAACACCTGAATACACTAGCCCTCAGGCACGCCAGCTGAGGGAGCCGCAAAAGTGTTCACCGTGGTGGGATGGTAAGTCTGGTGCCAGCTAGGAGAAGCATATCCTCACCCCTCCTTCTTCCTCCTCTTCCCCATCTCTGTAATCCAAGGCCCAGGCTCAACTCCTTAGCTTTCAAAGAGGGCACTGTCCTTTTTCAATGGGGCATTCCTGGGGACCCGGCAGATGATGGACACACGTGTCCTCAGTAAGGAACTTGTCATAAGCTAGAAAGATCGATCCGAGGGTAAAGGTACTTAACTGCCGACACTGAAGACCTGAGTTCAACATCCAGGACCCACAGAGTGGAAGGACAGAAGTGTCCCCTGCAGGTTACCCTCTGACTTTCATGCATGTACCAGGGCACGGGCATGTGTATACACACACTATAAACAGAGAAATGTAATAAAAAACCCTCTTAAAAGGTTGTCATCAGCCGGGCCATGGTGGTGCACACCTTTAATCCCAGCACTCGGGAGGCAGAGGCAGATGAATCTCTGAGTTCAAGGCCAGCTTGGTCTACAGAGTGAGTTCCAGGATAGCCAGGGCTACACAGAGCAACCCTGTCTTGAAAAACAAAAACAAAAACAAACAAAAATTGTCATTGTTTATGCTCACGTGTTTACCCCTCACTGAGTCATTTGTTCAGTTGTTCTTTTTCTCTTCTCTTTCTTTTTTGACAGAGTCTCTCTTATACAGTCCAGGCTGGTCTCCAACTCTCGATTCTCCTGCCTCAGCTTCCTGAGTGCTAGGATTGCAAGCACGTGCCACCGCCTTTGGCTGTCCAAAAGCATTTACTGAACCCTACCGAATGCCGAAGGAGGGAGGCGAGGCGGAACAACGCGGGTCATTCAGACAGCTTGGGGTTGATGGCCTCTAGCCGGGCAGAAGGACCCCAGAACTTCCTCCACCTGGTGGGTTTGTCCTAGCCTCTGCCCGTCAGTACCCAGGACCACGATGGACTGACAGGGGTCCACTCTGGCTTGGAACGCTTCTCCAAGCGCCCAGCCTTCAAATTCAAATTGGTCACTTGTAAGAGATGTGGCCTGGGCCTGGTGGATTCGATCTGGGCACTGTCTCCGTCTGCTCCAGACCACGGTGGGAACTGCACAGAGGTCACATGAGTGTATTTAGTAAGTGCCCAGTGTTAGGATTCTGTACATGCGCAGCTCGGGGTCTTGTCTGGCACCTTATTACGTCATCAATGGGCGACTGTGTCCCGGCCTTAAAGCCGGACGTGCGCCCCCACGTGCTCTCTCTCTCTCTGGCCTCTCTTCCTGTTTCCTCTCCGCCAGGCCTGGCTTCTCCGGCCTATCCCCTCTTCTTTCTAATAAAGTGCATTCTAACTCTGGTAGCCATGGCTCGTGACTCTTCCTCCAGACAACCAGCGCCGTTCACCCTTTCACCTCGTGAGGTGTTTCATGAGTTTCCTTCCCTCCCACCCTGTTCAGCAGGGCAAAGGGCAGGCCATGGCCCTGTGTTTGCTTCCTCTGCCAAAGCAGAGGAAGCCAAAGCCAGACCCTGTACCTCAGTTTCCCATTTATGTCAGTGAGACAGAATCACAGAGGTCCTGCTATTGCAGAATTTAGCCAAAAGGAAACATAATTTGCATGGGCTAAAGCAGCCTATTCACCAAGGACCAGGTGCCTGTGGCCTGCAGTTGTGGGAGCAGGCATTCACAGCATGGGGTGGGGGTTGAAGTGGGCCCAGGGTGGAGACATGATTCCTCCTGTGACCTCTGAGTGACCCTGGGCTATCTCCTGCAGACAGCTCCTTCCAGCTCCGCTCTCTGGCCACTGCTTATCTCCCTGATAAATGGCCCAGTGTCCTTGCAGAGGAAGAGCTGTGTGTGTGTCCTTTGGAGCCTTCCCTGCCTGGCCTGGGCAGAGCCGGTGAAGACCTGGGCCTAGGCACATGGCCTGTACTCCAAGAGTTTCCCAGGTAATGGTAGTGCTCTGCATCCAGGGAGGTTAGCTGTCCCCAGATTGTCCTGATGACCACAGTCTGAAAGGAGAAGCAAGGTTTGGCCTTCCAGACTCTGAAAGAAACAAGGTTTGGGGGCTGGAGAGATGTGCTCAGCAGTTAAGAGCACTGGCTCCTCTTCCAGAGGACCCGGGTTCAGTTCCCAGCACCCACATGGCAGCTCACAGCTGTCTGTAACTCCTGTTCCAGGGGATCTGACACCCTCACACAGACATGCATGCAGGAAAAACATCAACGTACATAAAATAAATAAATTAAAAAAAAAGAAGAAGCAAGGTCTGGTTCTTCCCAAAGACCCCTCATTCTATATCTGAGTGCCTATTCCCTGCATACCCTAAGACATACATCAGATAGTCTTGGGTCCTCCGATGCACTGAGCATTGGGCTGGTGGTAGGAGGAACTGGACATTGCTTTGAATTGTGACCTGTACATGACTCTTAGCAACCGTGGCTGGGGACTGGATCCCATCAACGAGGCCATAGATAGGGCATATGTAGAAGAGGGAGGCCTGTGCCTGTCTCTGTGGAGTCTCTTGGTCCTCACAGCTGTTTAAACACATCACTGGAGAGCCAGGCCCAGGCCCCCACCAGAAACAGGAAGCTTCCAGGAGCCTGCAGACCCCAACCAGCCTATCTGTCTGCAGAGGGCAAACAAAAACAACAACAAAATTTTCCCTTCCCTTTGGTCAGAGGACCAAACACCACTAATCCTGCTTCTCCTCCTGGCTTTAGCCTGATGTCCACATAGGCAAAGGCAGGTTTGTCTGTCTGTCCACATGCACAGTGCTCATCCAACCTACAGCATAAATTGCAGCTGAAGGAAATCTATTGATGGGTGGATGCTGGCTCCATATGCTCGGGTATCTGAATGTTTTCATTCAGAAAACTTTTTTGAGTTGTGAGATAGGGTCTTATAAACTTACTATGGAGCCCAGACAGGACTTGAACCCCTGATTCTCCTGCCTCCACTTCCTAAGTACTAAAATTACAGGTGTGTGCCACCATGCCCGACTGCAAATATGTTATTTTGTTTAAAAAAAAATCTCTCCCATTTTGTAATGAAGGGGCCACCAACTCAGCTGGCAGCACTGCTGTTGCCAATCACTTCATGGCTGCCCCCAAACCAGCCACAGGTGACACTGTCAAAGGATCAGAAGCATATGTCTTTCCATGGGTTAATGCTAGGTTATCCAGCCAGCGCCATATGGCAAAATTCATTTCTGTACCTTCCAGTCTTGAACGGCCCCGCTGGAAGTGAAGGTAGGCGCCCACAGCCAGATTTTAAGGACATTGAGAGGACCCTAAAATGGCTTCCTTTTATATTCAGATCTTAACTGTGTCTTAGTTACTTTTCCATTGCTGTGAAGAGACACCATGATCAAGGCAACTTACATAGGAATGAGTTTATTGGGCTTACGATTTTCAGAGGGCAAATCCATCACCATCGTGGCAGAGAGTATGGCAGCAGGCAGGCAGGCATGGCGCTGGTACAGTAGCTGGGAGCCTACATCCTTAGCCATAAGCATGAGGCAGAGAGAGAGCTAACTGGGAATAGCGTGGGCTTTTGAAACCTCAAAGTACCTCTGACTCCAGTGACATACGCCCTCCAAATAGGCCACACCTCCTAATCCTTCCCAAACAGTTCTATCGACTGAGGACCAAACACTCAAATATACATGTCTATGGGAGTCATTTTCATCCAAATACTACAAACCGCCTCTGCAAATTTTCTCAATATGTGGATATGGACTAACATTGCCACTCTTAACAGTTGGGTGCATCTGAACTTGCATTTTTGTTCTAGAAACACTGTGGTTTCTACATTCATTTACTCAATAATCACATATATTTATTAAGAACACTTTCTGGACTCAGTCTGTGGGTAAAGTAATGAGATACAGCCAAGAAAATCATGGTGTATTCCCTAGAGTGGAGTCTGTTGTCATCAAACTCTCTCTCTCTCTCTCTCTCTCTCTCTCTCTCTCTCTCTCTCTCTCCTCCCCTCTGTCTCTCTGTCTCTGTCTCTCTCTCTCTCTCTGAAGGATCTGAAGGTGTTGAGTGCACCGTGGAACAGTGCAGGGGCTGTAGGCACAGGGACCTATCAAAGTCTTAGGAGCCTGGGAACTGTCCTGGGAGTGTTAGTAAACAACAAAATGAACCAGGTGCGCAGGTACACACCTTTAATCCCAGCACTTGGGAGGAAGAGTCAGGCAGATCTCTGTGAGTATGAGGCTAGCCTGGTCTACATAGTGAGTTCCAGGACATAGAGAGACCCTGTACTAAAAAACAAACAAACAAACAAAACAGAAAAGAAAAATGGAACAATTCACAAAATGGAGACACTCCTGCTCAGCATCCTGACGTCATCAGTACATGCTGACAGCAGAAGCAAACACCTGGGCATAACCAGCAAGACCCTGGGAACAGTCAGCCCTCACCAATTAGGAGCAGGCCAAAAAGTCTGCAATTACAAGATAAGCCTCAGAAGACTAAAACCAAGACTCCAGGCAGCTCAGCAGACTGGTCTCCAACATACCTTAACACACACTAATCACGTACTCTAGCAACAAGGGACCCTTTCAGTGAGTAAGTCTCCCATAATATCCTGACTCTGGCCTGGTTCTCACTTTGGGACCACTGAGCGTCTAGCACCCTGGCTGACCTGGCTAAGCGTGACTGAGGCCATGACCAGTCAGCCTCTCACTCTCAGGCCAGCACCCACCCACTGTCCCTCTCCTGCCAGTGGACGAGGACATGATGGCTGGCTGTGCACTGAGCTATCAGGCTTACAGCCCTCTTGGCCACCTCCACCTACTGTCCACGAGTCCTGCCTCCGGATACTACTGGAATCACTTAGAACTAGATTGTTACACTCATTTGTTATGAGTTGTGCCCCCCCCCCCTTTATGTGTGAACAATAAACCGCGCATTTGAAAAAGACACCTGACTGTGACGTCCAAGGTCTGTTTGAGAGAGCTAGGAACTAAGGAGCTGGCTCTTGAGCAGAAAGTGGCAAGTAAAACTAGAAGGGAAGATAGGCCTTGTGGTGACACTGGGTTTAACCTCAGGACTCAGGAGGCAGAGGCAGGTGGAGCTCTGTGAGTTCAAGGACAGCCTGGTCTACAGAGTGAGTTCCAGGACAGCCAGGGATACACAGAGATCGATCCTGTCTCAAAACAAGCAAAGAAACAACAACAAAACAAATCAACAAAATAACAAAAAAGAAAGGGAAAAGGTTCCAGACAGAAAGAAAAGCCTGGCAGAGCCTCATGGCCAGAGGGACCATTGAGGTGGAGGCCAAGAGAGGGTGGAGCCAAGCCCCACACAGGGCCACATGGAGAGCTGTGGCAGGCCAACCTGAAGGAGCAGGAGGCCAGTGGTGACTCTGACAGGCTCCTCTCTGGTTGCCGGATGGAAAGTGGATTCTGAAGGGTTTTGCTCCCAAAAGTCTGGGGCAGCTTTACTACTGTGCCCGGGATTTATTGTCGCCTGCTACCTCCCTTGTGGCTGTCTAGACTGAAAGCTCCTGAGGGCAGAAATTGGGGTTGAGTTCGTATTTAATTCTTTTAGCTCTTCTCCTTCACCCTCTCCCTCTCTCTTCGACATAAGGTTTCATTATTGTAGCTCAGGTTAGCCTTAAACTCACTACCTAGCCTAGGTGGGCCCTGAACTCATGATCTTCCTATCTCAGCCAAGTGCTGGGATTACAGGTGATTAGAACTATGCTAGGCTGGCATCTAGTGAATTTCTAGAAGTCCAGAAGCATTACAGAGCCAGACACACAGCAGGGGCTGACAGAGGGGCTCACTGATCAAGCATTCATCTATCTGATGATGCCCCTGAAGGTGTCTATGTGGCCCGGCCTCTACCTGTGGGCTAGGATCCACAACCTGGTCAGGCACCATTGGATCAACACAGGCAGGATGTACCCGGTAACAAGCTAGGCATTCAGAAAGCAAGCTGGGTACTTCCAATGCCCACATGCTGGCTGTCAAGTGGGGAAGCTCTCACCTGGAACCCCACAGCCATATGGTCAGAACTGCTGGCACTATCCATCAAGACAAATCAGTCTGGCAGCCAGAGCCACGCAGGCTGTGGAACTCAGGGTCCTGTCCGGAGTCCGTCTGTCCCCAGGCTTTCTCAGGCAAAGGAGGTAAAGGGATGAAGATGGGAGCTGGGGGTGGCTGCAGGTTAGCTTCCAGAGAGCCATGGCTGAGAGCTTAAGGCTGAGAACAGCCCCTCATCCAGAAGGATGGCCCAAAGCTGAAGTTGGGCAAATCCAAACTGGTGAGCAATGAGCCGCCTGGCAGGTGAGCTGTGTGAGTCAGAGCCCACGCTGGAGGAACCTCTAGCTCCTCTCCATCCCATCAT